CCCCAAAACCCCAAAACCCCAAAACCCCAACTTATTTAATTTGGGAAATTAAAATATTAAAAAATCAATGATTATTACTTCAGTATAGATACGCAAGAGATAATTCATTAAAACCCACTAGTTTTTCGATCAATTCCATAATAAATAAGCATTTTTCATCCTAATTTGGTAAAGTTGCAACCTAAACCCCGATCGGCAGTCCTTGTGAATCGGTTTAAGCTATTCTCATAAACTCAGATATTCTGTCATGTTATACCTAAATGTTACTACTACCCCTACCTTTGATTTATTACTCATTCAATTTGATATCTTCAGAAGTAACTAATTTTACAGGCAGTACTCCTGAGGGGTAATCGAGAATATTGTAGAGCATTAGATTGCTATTAAGGGTGAATAATTCGCTGGATAGCTTGTGAGGAATAGCTGGTAACGGGGAGGCTGGGGATATCACTGCATCAAATTGCATCAATATCCAATAATCAGTGAAATTTCTTATTTAAGTATTTAGCTGAGCATTCAATTCGATAAATTCTTGTGCAGAAAGTGATTTTGTTGCCTCCATGATAATGCTCATTCTATCTTACCTTAATGACTTTAATATTTCTATAAGTTTATCCTTAAAGCTGTTTGATAGTTTTGCTTAGTGCAAAATCTTTTACATTTCTTCAATCTGAGACTCTCCTTCTAAAGCCTATGTATATAATCCAAGGTTGCCACCACTACAAATCAGTTTATAGGCTAATATAACTATCTACTGCAACTACTGTTCAGCCCCCAGTTTAAATTCTATTAAAGTATGCCCTTGCTCTTCCAATACTTCTTTAACCATCAAAAGAGCTTATTTTGAAGAGTAAGATGGCTCAATTATACCATCTCCCATATAATAGCCAATTATAAGAGCCTTATCTTTACTTTGCAAATTCGAAGGCTCTCTGAATTTGATAGGGGAAATTGAATTATCATAGTGAGACATGATTTATGAATCCCATAGACATTTAAATATATGAGTCAAATCTTTTACTGATCTGGCCATAGGAGTTATGACTGCTTTGCAAACTTAAGTCTGCATATTAATCTTAGAAATACCTTGGCAAGAAACTCTTGAACTAGTTGGCTTAAATGCTGAGACTCCACAACATGCAGCTGGGTATCTAGAGCAGCCAAATTAGTCTATTCCAATGCCTATTCCTGCTGAAAATGTACTAACTAATGCAGCTTCTCCTCCACATGACCCTCCAGTGCTAAATTCTTTCTTGTGAGGATTGTTCGCTCTACCCCATATATTGTTATTACATTCCTTCACCCAGCAATTGTTATCAACTACTTAAGTGCTCTAATTCACACTAGATCTAAACAACGGCATAGCCTGCAAGTCAATCAGAGCCTAAATAAAAATTGCGTTTGTGTTTTAAGGCTTGAGTGATCTAAAAACATTTCCATTCGTACAATCATATCCATCTTGATAAATGCAATCAGCTACTGAAAACGTCAATCCATATAATGAATGGTCAGGCTTAACCTTTTACCTCTCAGATTATCCTATTATCATCTAGCGAGGTCTAGATTATTCCTTGTCTTCAATTATAAGTTCCGCAAGGTAATTATTGTCTACAGCAATGTCCAGAGCTCTCAATAAGTAAGCTGTTTTAATCTCTTCAACAGTAAAATGGCCCTCTTTAGTAAGTTGAATGATTTATTGCATGTTTTACTTTAGTATTCTTTGCATCTTATCTCTAGTAAGCTACCTTTACATCTTGTTCTACTGAGAAACTTCTTAAATTGAACTCGCTCTTTAAGCTTATTTCTTTTCACTTATTTGCTTTTAGGATATATCAATCTGCTTTTGCTTCTAATTATACTTATAACTATGATGTAAAATCTTAAGCAGCTAGTATGAGGCAAAAGTACCAGTAGTCATATATGCTATTTAATAAGATGAGAACTTATTCAAGTTCATTTTCATGATGAAATCTTAGTAAGTTTCCTTAAGAGTGTTAGTGGACATTAATTTAGTAAAAATTTATTAACCTTATATTAATTATCACATTTAAAAATAGAATTCATAAGTTTTAATTATCTTATATATCGCTGCCCGCGACCCTTGGGCTTACATATTCTAGCGAGAAGTTATGAATCCTGCGAACCTTTGAAAACTGCGACCTTTTATTATTAGTATTTGCTGTTGCATCTATTGGGCTTAAAAGGCCTGAAATAAGCTGATCTTTTTCTCTCTCGAATCTGATTATCTAAGTTTGTTACTAAAAAGTCTAATTTCTTGTCTTCTTTTAGCCAGGCTAATTATTTGTAGCACCATTATTGTCGAAGATGTTCTGATTTTCATCGCTAATAATTTAGTTGTTTGGCTACTCTAAGTTAGAATCATCTTCGTAATCAGATTTGTTCATTATAAAAGCGCCTGATCCACTTAGTATTGCTTCAAACTTTTTGCTTAAGTCATCTTATTCGTGTAATCCCTCTGATTCCTCATCTTCTTCATTTTCCTCTCCAACTCTCTAGATGTCTTCAGCACCGTAGTCATTCTCATCCTAGTATGCTGCATCGGTATAGCTTCGATTCTAAATGTTTTAAAGGTCATATTATTCTGCATTACATTAACTTTTTACCTTTCTCTTCACCCTACTTTCTGATTTGGATTTTTCACCTTCCATAGATCTTGAAGAATGGTATTTACTTTAATGTACAGAATCCTCTTGTTCATTGAATGAAGCATTTGAATCATCTAAAAGATCATGATGAGGCATAGCATTCACAAATTCAGGCTATGGGTTATAAAGGTAGCCATCCTGGCTTTAGAATCTGGCAATGAGATTAGCTTAAGCATCAGCTACTTGATTCTAAGGAAAACTTATAATCTTACTTGCGATTGATTAGTCCCCTGACTCTAATTTTCTCAACTATTGAAAATTACTATCCCTTAATTTCCTTTGAGAGTTACTATTAATAACCATATCCTGCTACGAAGATTAGAGGCTATTCAAATGTTTGGTGTGCTTTTATGAGAATTAGTAAGGAGGTTCACTCTCAGGCTCATTGATTTTATGCTAAGACACTAACTATTTGTGTTGTTACTTGCTTTTACCTAAACTTTGAATTGGCACCTAAGCTAGATTTTTCAAGAATTCATTCTTTTCTACCATTGAGTTAGTAATAAAAGGCAAGGAGTGCTAAGAAGACTGTTTGTCTGCTTGTGTCATGCCATTTTACATCTACCAAACCCCTGATGCATAGCCACTTGTCACCATCAAGTTCTAAATGTTCGAAGTATGCCTTTTCTTTTTGCCTTTCTTGCTTTTATAAACCTTAGCCCCACTCATTTGACTTCTGACCTAGGGTCGATGATGATACATAGACAATTCTGAATTTCTATTTAGAGTCATTCTGTTTGTTTCATCATATTCGTTGTTAGATTCTGAGTTATGCGATATACGCTAGAGCTGCTTTTCAAATGAGTTCTCTGGTCTATCAAGATGATGTTGATCATTCATCAAAGCAATAATACTCAGGTCATTCTTGTTAATTTCCTTTATCTCTAGATCTTCATTGTAGTGATCTCCTTCGTAGTCATAATTCTTGCTTGTTCCCATTTGTTGTCGACTGAAGGAGTAATCTTATTAAATAGCCTGATTATTATTGACTAATATCTTGAAACTGGTCTTCGAGGTATTCATCTTAATACTCATTTCTTCTTTTTGAGATCTTCGATGAGATTTCTGTTTTTATTTAGTATCTTACTAATTCAATGGATAGGTACTATTGCTAAGCTAATCTGCCAATATCATATGCTGATTTTAGGAATGAAATTGCTCATCCTTTTCAGATTTTTTGAGAGGTCTTGAGCTATTATCCTCAGGATATTCTCTATGAATACTTGCACTATTGACATTTTGAGTAGATTCTAACTATTAAATGCTTCTCTTAACTTTTCGGCCTGAAATAATATCACAACAGAAAAAGCAGCAAACACAATTTCACCTAAGCTTTTAGCACAGTGATTTTTTCTTTTATTTTATTACTCTAAAATCTTTTTAGTCATCAGATTCTTAGATGTAGCTATCACTTTTTGTTCTTGGATGTAAATTCCTATTATTTTTCTTTTTAAAAGATGATTATTAAGAATTCTAGAGCCTTGAATGGCTAGCATTTAAGGGAGTAAGACTATTATTCAAATCATTATTAACTTCGAATTGCTAGTTAATAGTTTGACTCTAGTTCAACTGTTAAGAATAAATCTAATCTGAATGATTTATTGTTTACTTAATTTATTCTCGATGCTTTACCCCATTTTTCTTCATTTTCTCTTTTAGTTTAATAATCTCTTAGTCTTTTTACTTTTGCTACTTTTAAGTAATGTACTCAAAAGTTGATTATCCAGTTCTAATCAGATAAATATGGAAAAATACAAGTTGAGCTATCCCTATCATGAAAGGTATTTCAATTATGAATATAATCCAAGTCAAACCAAATAGAGCTTTGCAAACTTCTAATACGTTATTATCATGAAGTAAAATGTGTCTCTCTGAATCATAATCTGGCATTTTATAGAATTTGGCTACATTTAAAATGTATTCATCTCTATCTTAGAAGTAAAGGATAATAGTGTATAAGCAGATAGATAAATGAGCTGATATTAGTATCATTGTTGCAACTATCAACCCAAAAAAGTATCTATAGTTCGATTATCCCACGCAATTATTAAGCCATTAACAGTGATGATCAAAATTGAATACACATCTGTCGCATTAAGAGCAGTGTTTCGAAGCTTCAACACAATGAGCTTTGCACAAATAACAAAATAATAATTATTCTCCTTCTTTCATGTTTTTTACTGCTTCATGCGGCTCAAATGTCTTCCTAATGTAAGTTATGGTTGTTAAATATTAGAGATTTAGAACTTATAGTTATCCTTGAAATTTACGTGGAGACAGATTATTGAAGGATTGAAAAATAACAATTTGTAATCAAGAAACTTACATTTATCTTAGATATTCCCTCTCTAATAGCACAACGGGATCTGTGGGTACTGTTAAAGTACTTATAAGATCTAGAAAAGCAACTAATAAACATGAAATTGTAAACACAATGGTACAACCTGCCTATACTATGGTAGTTAAGATATTTGTCAAACAATTCCGACTTCGAATAAAGTAAAATAAATTGAATTAATAAGGTAGATCTTATTTCATAAATTACCTTAGCATGATCATTCAAAGGTGGTAATTGGACTAGAAAATAGCCGCAAAATAGTATCACAAAAGCTATCCATGACAAAATTTAAAGGAGGTTAAAAGGAGGTCAGCATCCATGGGACTTCATAGGCCTCAAAGCTGGTTTTTCGTATGTATTTTATTATTCAAGAGAAGTGAAATCCTTTTTCATCATATTTTGATTATTTAAAATCTATTTTTTTATATTGAAACACTTACTCGTATTGTACTTATTCAGTAATACGGGGTTTTGGGGTTTTGGGGTTTTGGGGTTTTGGGGTTTTGGGGTTTTG